GGCGCCCTGCGCAACCCGAGATTTCTTCGCCTCTCACCGGTCGCCATACCGTCCGACGCCGGAGACAGCTGAAGCCTACTCTTAGCCGTTCAGACATGCAGACGTGCCGTTAAATTGTTAGTTATATTTGGATATTTATATAAATGGTAATTGAAGGATGATGAAGGCTCCAACGCAAAACCCCGTCGACCAGTAGGAAATTTAGGCGAGAGTTTTCGGACCATACGAGCCGACAACTGATGGTAGTGATGAGAGCATGTGGCAGGGCGACAGGACGCCTCCCTTTTGGTAGGCGGATATTTCCCCTAGCGAGTCCTGGTCCTTGATCCAGAACGCAATGACTTACCAAGGAAGTATAGTCTACTTATCTTGGAACTTTGAATGGAGACCCAGATAGATCGATAGAGTTTTCAATGCTGTTTACAAAACTGGAAATTAAAACTGCAAAATGATCTTCCTTAAAAAGTTATGGCATCTCGAATTTTGCTTGACAGTAGTACAATTGGATATACGAACTCGTCGCTCCGTTATCAAGTGCCAACGTGGCTTAGGGGTAGTGGTTTCGCTTTATAGGTGCAGCGTGAGTGTTTGCTCTCCGCCATAGTCCGCATTTTTGCAAAGTGTTCTTTCATTTCATCAAAGACTCTCTGAACATTTTTCGACGTTTGTTAAGGTGAACACCTGTTTTCAACATTCAACATTTTACGTTTTTAACATTTCATCAGACTTGAAAAATTTCCAAAGCTCCAAGTCTAGTGGTCAGAGCTGGAATGCTCTTGGCGCAATTCAATGTATGTCGTTGAAAACCGAGACTCACGTACCACCCATGGCGGGTTTTGTTAAATTTTGAGGAAAATGACTGTTTCGTCTCCGGTTGTAGAGGAGCATCATGTATAAGCTGCGCAGTTAATGAACAACAAGTGTGTTGCATACATTTTTTCAGCTTTTCCTATTAATGCTGGGTTCCTCACGAGCATCTTATATATCTCTGGCACCTCGCTATTAAATGTTTTTTCAAGTCGAAAATGGAATAGAATCACTTAATTAAGTGCAGAACCATTCTTCCTTGGATAGGTGTGACGAGAGAAAATAAAAACGGGAATAAGGCGTTGACTTAAACAAATGTCAGAAAACGTTCAGAAAGCCTTTAACCAAATGAAAAAACACTTTGCAAAAATGCGGACTACGGCGGAGAGCAAACCCTCACGCTGCACCTATAAAGCGAAACCACTACCCCTAAGCCACGTTGGCACTTGATAACGGAGCGACGAGTTCGTATATCCAATTGTATTATACTACTGTCAAGCAAATTTCGAGATGCCATAACTTTTTAAGGTAGATCGTTTTGCATTTTTTGCATTGAAAACTCTATCGATCTATCTGGGTCTCCATTCAAAGTTCCAAGATAAGTAGACAACCCCTCCCTGGTTAGACGTAACGTATCGGGGCTTGCTGTGCGCAACTTAACGCGTGAAGAACGAATTCAGCCGCGACCTCGGACGGACGGACAAGGGGGACTCAAGCAAGGGGGCCGCCTTCCCTCCAGCTCTTCGCACGTCTACCTGACCATAGCTTCGAACGCGAAGCGGCAAGTCGGTCAAAATAAACCCCCGCCTGACTGAAGAGCACCGGAGCTTTGCATTAGAGCTTGTGATAAAAGAGTGTCAGATAAAAAGCTCTGAACAATTCGATAGCGATGGCGAGATCTTATAAAATAAAATTACTACTGATCAAAATTTTGTTTCAGGGTATTAATCATTATCACGGAGAGAGCTGGTAACCCCACATCACTGGAACCAATTGCAGAAAATGTATGAGAAATATTTTTTTTGCTAGAGCATTTATGTCTTTTCAGATGATAATGATCCTAAATGATTAAATACGAACTGAAAATAACAGTACAAAATTGAGCTAACCATTAAATTATGTACAAATCACGATTAAGACGTTTTCTAAGACTTTCTAGAACAAACCTGTGACCCCCAAGAATAGCACAAGGGACGATGTCAGATCGATGAATGAATTAGAGCGTTATAATAGCCACAAAACCGGCTAAGCCGATGCACAAGCCGATTCTTGAAAGGCGATGTGGAGCCTGCAGGGATTGCACCATTCGCACTAAGACACGTAGGGTGTGGTGCAATAGGAACGAAGTTGTCGTGTTCGGGCGAGAGAGACGCTGCGTGCGAAGGAATGTAGCAGTATGCAGCAGCATGTAAGAAGTACAGGAACAAAAGAAGTAATAGTAGAATCATGCCCGAAGTAATAATCGCATAGCGATAGAGCTGTATGAAGAACGCTAGAACTGTTATAACGAGGCAAATGGTTCGCGACAGCCGCGTGCGGCGGATCGATTACACAAAACCGTTCCTACTGCCCGTCTTCCGGACACACACGTTGCACGGATGCAGCTTACTGTAGCCAGCTGTACGCATAGCACACCTGCTTGGACACCTTATCAGATTACCCCTTTTCTGCAACTCTCAGCGACCAACTTCTGATTTTACTTTTCGTAGCATATGACATCTCATATGCTGATTTCCACTTTGTCTTCGCCACTTTTGCCCCTT